AAATAATTTAGAGTTCAGATTTTTTTTTAAAATATAAGTATTTGATATCTGATGCTATTAATTCATATTCAAATATAGTGAAAACGTGACTTGGTTCAAACTATAATCAAATAGGTGTTTTATATGGAATTTTAATTATTATGATTATTCAAATAACCAACGGAAACATGCAATATTTTCAATAACATATTTAATTGAAAAATAATCAATAACGCGTGCAGCCATAACACTGTCAAAACCATCACCATCAAGTCCATAACAACAATTTATGAACATAATACAAATTGGGATTAATATATTTTTATTTCTTGAAATTTAATATTGTTTTGATTTTGACCCTAAAATTTGAAACTAATACTCCTGAAATTTAATCTGTCTAAAAATTTTTGTTTCATAAATAGAAAAATAGTTTGGTTTTTGGACTAAAATCAAAATCGAAATAGTTCGAACCATAGAGACAGAAAGTGGTACCTACAAATTATATATTGCTAATAAAATATAATTAATCAGCTAAACACAAATAAATTAAGATCTATGGACACGCGCCAGTCCTACAAGCCGACCCTCATTCTCAGTTACGGCGTGTTTTTATATATATATATATATAGAGAGAGAGAGAGAGAGAGAGAGAGAGGACGCGTCTAGCTAGGCATTTGAGATCGTTATTCACAATCATCATCGTCTCTCCTTAGAAGCAAAACCAATGACGAAGGATTCAACAATGGCGAAAATCACACCTGCAATTGCATGCGGAAGTCACAACAACGGCCGGAAACAGCCGTTTACGATGGTGGAGCTCTCAGAATTGGAGGTAAACGCCGTTATGCAACTCATTCAACTCAGCAGCGCCGATTCTTATTCGGATCATACAGATCACCACGAAGACGATAATAGCAGCAATAACATCAGCTTCTCCTTCTCCAGCTTCAGCAAAGATGAAAGCTGCAAATCAGTCGATGCAGCATCTTCCTCCTACTCCTCGACCTCCTCCCCCTCCTCCTCCTCGTCGGTCGCTGCAGTATTGTTAATGGAAGCAGAAAAAGGAGAATTATTAGCAGAACAGGATCCTGATGGTGATGATGATAATGATCGGAGCAATTTCGGAGAGAGAAGGAACAAGAGGCACCGATCCATTGCAGAGTTATATAGGGTTACGGACGAGACTGTGTTGATGTCAGTTGTTAGGAGGAGGAAGAAGGGGGAGAAGGAGATGCAGCCGCACGCGTAGTGATCAGAAACGAAGACGCTTCAAATTTCTCGAAGAGACTGATTCATGGTGGATTCCGATCAGCACAGATATGTGGATATTAGATGTGAGTTTTGTGAAGATCGCGTGCTTTATTATTGTCTCTTCGAAATTTAACTCACATTTCTTTTTAAGTCCTCCATATTAGATCTACTTTGAGCAGCTTGTATTCAAAATTGCTTGGTAATTTGAATTAGAAGGTGATCACATTATATATTTAACACCTTGGCTTGATCAGTTGAGAACTTGAAATTAAACCAACGTAAGCGCGTGCTTGATAATTAGTTTCACACCTTCAAAACTGTTGTGTTCAGTGTTTCAATGTGAAACTAAACACTTCCTTACATCGTAAAATGCATATATATGATATTGGAATTCTGTACACGAGAAGTTGGTATACTTTTAAACTTCAGGATCTGGAAATTTGTACAGAGAATGGGGGGGGGGGGTTGGTTTGGCAAGATATTGTCCCATCAATTCGAAACTTAGAGGAGCTTTTGGTTTTCATTAATGGTGAAGAAGTTTTTGCTTGTTGAAGGAGCAAAAACTAATTAAGGCATGAGTCAGACCAGAATCAAATTAAGGGTAATAAATCCGTATAATGACCCAACAACGTAGACAGAACAAGTATCTTTTAGTTAACAATCTATTTAAAGATCTAGTTATTGATTGAGCACAATGTCGTCACACAATTATATGATAGAATAAAGTTTTGTTATTGTTGTTATAGTCGTAATCCAGATATATATAATCCATTACTACTCTTGTTGATTAAGCTAGCTGATGTTCTGAAAATCTAACTTCAAGAAGTTTGCATAAGTGCCCCTAAATACAGTCGTTTGCAGGTACCTTTTCTCCTTTCTTTTTTCTTCAATTTTAAAGGATTGTTAGCGCATAAAGTTCAGATATACATTTTAATGTAAGATGAAGTGATAATAAAATAAAATGATGATATGAAAAATTAAAAAAAGAAATTGAGTATAAAAAAATAAATTCCCTACTGTAGTCTTTGCGACTTCTTTATATCCAGAACAGAGAAGATGCATGCATATCATGTTCAGATTATTTAACGATCCGAGAGATCACAACAAAAAGTACGACTTTAGATACAATGAGTTGTGTGAATTCAAAAGCGATGTGTGGAAAGCATAATTAATCAGAGTCAATGTACATGCATGTAACACACAACATCACAGTACGAACTCAATTCTCAGGCTCAACAATACATCGCCTTTTCAGAGAGAGAATGAAAGTGGAAAGAGAGAACAAAACGAGAGAAAAAAAATTATGATATTTTATGTATTACCTCCGGTCCTTAATATTACTTCCGGTCCAAAATATAAGAGTTAATTGACTAATTTGAGTATATTAAAAAAATAAGTTAAGTTGTTATTTGTAATAAATGGATATTATTTTTCTCAAAATATTCTTACTAATTAAATGTATTGATTAGAACTACCATTATTAGAAGGACTATCTTGAAAAAAAAAATACATAAATTGAGAGATAAAGTGGATTGAGGCCTTACATTTAGGATCAAAATAAAAGTCAAACGAGGTCCTATATTAAGGACCGGAGGTAGTATAAGATCCCGTTTGACTTTTATTTTGGTCCTAAATATAAGATCCCACTCCACTTTGTCTCTCATACTTATCTATTTTTTTAAGATAGTCCTTCTAATAATAGTAGTTCCAGCCAATAAACTTGATTAGCAAGGATGTTTTAGGAAAGACAATACTCCTTTGGTCCTTAATATAGGACCCAATTGTTGACTTAGTTTTGGTTCTAAATATAAGACTCATTTATCATATTTATCAATTTTATCTAAATTACCCCTATGAATACTCCCTCAAACATAATCAAGTAGAAGAGTGAGAGGGGGTATTAAGAAAGATGATTATGGTGTTTTAGGAAAAACGCGTCACATTTCTTGTAATTAACTAACTTATCTAATTTCCTTAATCTAATCAAATTAGTTAAATAAGTCTTATATTAAGGACTAGAGGAGTACATATTTATTATAAATAACTAATTTAACTTATTTTCTTAATCTACTCAAATTAATCAGTTATCTTTTATATTTAGGACCGGACATAGTATTATTTATATATATTTATATTAAACATCACTAGTAAAGTTTATTAAAAAAATTGAAATGTTAAATTTTATATTTTGTACTGCATTGTAATAACACCAAAGTTGTTTAGCAATTGGTGTTAGATGATAGCAGATTTCAGGATATTGCAATAGCATGAAAGACGATGAAGAGCTTGAAATCACAGTATCTCATAATCTTATTTATCATAAGCATCAATTCTTTTTTTTTTTTAAAAAAAAAAGAAAGTCTAATGTATAGAAAATATTAAAATTAAAAATTAAGAAATTTTTCCAACTTTAAAATAATTTATATCAATCTCAATTTACAATGTGAATTTTTTTTGGACCAAAAACAATACTACCTCTGGTCCTTAATATAAGACCCTGTTTGACTTTTATTTTGGTCCTAAATATAATAGCTCAATCCACTTTGTCTCTGATATTTATTCAATTTTTTCCAAGATAGTCCTTGTAATGATTATAGTTTTAGTCAATACACTTGATTAGCAAGGATATTTTAGGAAAGACAACACCTATTTAGGACAAATAACTAACTCAACTTACTTTCTTAATCTTCTCAAATTAGTCAATTGACTCTTATAATTAGGACCAGAGGTAGTATGAAATATCGGTTCAACTGAACGAAAAAACAACTATTATTGGAGTTTCTCTATAAAATGCTTGTTTGAAGGAAGATTCGAACATTTGTGGGCCATAAAAATGTGGGCCCAAGTGCCCATAGGCCTTCAAACCCATTCCCAGGTACTTCTATAAAGCTTCATTGGCCCTCTCGAGGAAAAAAAATAAAAACCACATCGCCCCAAAGTCTCAACCTAAAAGGAGGGTTTATTACTTTGTGAGGCTTCTAGGTCTCTTTTTTTTTTTTTTTTGGTACATAAAATTTTTAGGAAAGGGGTCGGGCTCACTCACGATTCAAGGGTAGGGCACCTAATGCTTGATCCACTGGGGCCTATCCCTATGGGGCACGGGAGCATGACAAGTAAGCCCTTTTTTTCTAACCCAATAGATAGGAATCACCCAACTTCACTACGCTATGGAGATGCCTCCCCCAGGGCTGCGACTGGAGCCACAACAAAGTGACACTCCCCAGGATCGAACTCCCTCCTTCTGGTGAGAGAGTCCGACCCCTTTGCCAACTGAACCCACGGACGAGGGGTCTAGGTCTCTATTTAATTAACACACTTAAGTTCCATATGTTCTATTATTGGAAGATGCTGTGTCCATAGCAGTAGCAGCAGTATCGGGTTCTTCAGGTTATGGTCTTGTAGGGATTGGAAATCCCCATGGAAACACGGATATCAAAGCTTATCTTCTACAAAAGTTCAGTTCAGTTGAGTTACCAGGTGATACCTTCTGGCAAGATAATTAAATTGCGTTGTTTTTATCTTGTAGAAAAGATTTAGATCTTCAAGATTTTATCTGGATAGTGTGTAGAATGATCCAATTGGCATTAAGAAAGTTTCTAACTTTTTCTGAAGCAGAAGAAATTTCCATGTTCCACATAAATTCAACAATTTAATGAGCAAAAATTGTCTAAAGCAGAAATAAGGGTAAACAAAATTCACCATGTATTTTAAAATAACATTCTCTTTCACCTTCAAACTTTATGTCAAATGCCAGAAGCCCAGATGAGAAATTTCACAGCCAATCCCTTAGATTCCATAGCGAATCACTGGATTCAATTTACATTTTCCAATACACCATCAGATTTTGTTTTCCAAGTTAATAACCAATACCCAATTGGGGAGGAAAAATTAAAGAGATTTGAAAAACCCTAACTTAATATGTCATCTAAAATCTTCCTTGTTACAGTTTGCAGTTTAAGAATTTCCCGTGAATCACTCCAAACCCACTCATCCAAATTTCCAATCTCTGTTTTCTTCAGATCTCTTTGTCCTCAAATTGCGTAAAGCCATGAGAGTTCAAGTGAGAATGTGAGTGAACAGAAAAAAGGAGGATAGCAAAATGATGGCCACTCATTAAACACTGAGTCCATCAAAGCCACACTGCTTGTCAGTCAGAGATTGCTTCCTTGGACTTATCACTATTGCACAGTTCACAGATGCCTGCAACACAGTTGAGTTCACAAGATCATTCATCTGTGGTTCCAACAACATAGCTAAAGGATAACTGTATTATTGTAATAACATTACTCATCACACATGGATCTTTTTTTATTGAAAAACAAATGTTGTAGACCTATTGATCTTTTTAAGAATAAGGTGCTTAAATATCCCAGAAATATACACGAAAAAACACCCAGCATTTGAAAGTTTTTTTGGATTCTTATGTACCTTGGAAGTTTTATTTCGCAACATTTATACCTTGAATTATTATTTACCATTAAATTTAACTATTAAAAAGTATCCGTTAAACCACATAATTTAACAATTAAACTTAACGGTGGATAACGGTCAGGTTATTTTTGCTGAGTAGTCTTTTGTGTAAACTTTCAGAATATTTAAACACCTTATACCATCTTTTTATCATTGATTATCTACTTAAAAATTTCTCAAGAAATTACATCCCATGAAACTTAATAATAAATTTCCGAGAACTCTGGTAACTTTGTGATGATTTTAATCCTCAAAATAATTATAGTTTTTGACAACCTTCAACTTAAATTTTTAATTTATGAATGAGTCCTAAATATACCCCCCCCCCCTCATGAGACTATGGAGATCATTGTTAAGATAGGGACACAGGACGGGGGGATGAGCTCATGTGCCCCACAAACAGTAAAGTCACATGCTGAAGTCTCTCTTTAATTTGTTCAAGCTCGCAATTTTTTCACATAGTAAAGCGGGTGGTAAAATACTGAATTGCAAAATAACATCACCTAGACGCCAGCCATGAAAAGTTGAAAGAAATAAAGAGAAAAGAAACGAAAACATAAGAAAGAAAAATGTGAAAGTAAAAAAAAAAAAAAACAACAACAAACAAACATTAGAGTGAACACTATAAACATAGTTTAGTTAGAGTAAAGAAAACAAAAGAGTTGCGGTAGCTTCTTGGTTTCATGATGCAGTTTCTATCCATCATTCACTAGGTTAATGAATCCAGCTATGGACTCTAGGTGGGGACCAAGCAGTTTGTCATTATATTTTAAGTTCTGTGCCATCATTCCATCCTAGAGCAGTAGAGCCTCTAGGCTGTTCATGGAGTGAGATTATTCTAGGGCATTAATAATTTAATGTAGACCAGCCGGTAACAACTACATTTTTCATTTGTCTGTTTCTTTCATGTTTTGTGTATGAGCCAGGAGCTTCTCATCGCCTTCCTAGACATTCTTAGTTGCATTTAAAGTAGACATATTCCAGGACACTTCAACTAGATAAAGCTCTTTTCTTTTCTTTTTTAGGTCCGATGAACAGGTAACGCTTAGTTCACGAATAATACAAACTTTCCCTTATTTTAATTTGGCAAGTTGCTTTTAATAACACTTTTTCTGTTATATAATGACATCACTTGTGTTTTAAAATAAGCAACCAAAAGAAACTTTTGAGATTTTTTGGATTTGTTAATAACATGACCGATAAAAAATTTAATTGGTATGACATGATAATTATCAATATTGTTTATTTAATATCAATTATTTATTTTGTTCTACAAAAGACCCACAGTAGCTTCGATAAACTAATTATTAATAAGAAAGTCACAAGCTTTTATTATACTTTTTACTGTAGAAGATTTTACTTTTCATTTCTTTCAAAAACAGCAAAGAACTGTACAAAAACCACAAAATTGATCCTCAAACGTTCAAACCAGACCTTAATATTTAGACTAAGAACCCTGCTTGTATTTGTATCTTTTATGTATTTATAGGTCAATCAAATAGAACACTAAGTCACTAAAATGTTAAAAAGTTTCCTGGTAGCATAAATTGTTTGACTGAAACTTTCTCCCACCTCTACCACTCCGATTTAATTATTCCAGTCATCATCAAAATGTTAATATTTTGATTTTATTATTATTATTATTATTGAGAGATAAAACTGCAAAGGAAGAGCCCACAAAACAAGGTCTAGAAAATATCAAAGTATAAAAACGATACCACTGGAATGTCTTTCCGTACTATAAAATAAACAAACAAATGCAAGAGAGACGGAGGGAGCGAGCGTAAAAATCAAGCGCTCTTACCATCACTGGGAGCCTTTCTATACGACTTTCCAGGTTGAAAATCAAAATATTAAAAATTACAATTAACTAAAATTATTATCAAATTTTATATCACATTTTAAACTGTGATTATAAATTCAATTAAAACTATAAGGTTTAAAAATATATTAAAATAATTTTAATTTCTAAATAATGACATTATTCAAAAAAAATTATATAAAAATCTTCTCATGTAATTTTTCTGAAACAAGATGAAGATCAATTCAAGGTAGGAAGAAGGCAATGCAGGGGATGCTGGCAATGTTTTCCTTTTAACTAGAACATATTAATATACTATTTGTAGTTTCAGATGCTCTTTGTTCTACCGTTTCCATAAAGGGTAGTGGATTTCGTAGACACAGACACACAAAACAGCTAGAATCCACACTAAATCCACGAGAATGATAAGCTTGATTTTCAAGCAGAACGGAAGATTAAGCTTAATGAGGCAAGTTCAATTCTACCTACGGCAATATTGCAGGAAGATAGAGTTAAGGCTGTGAAAACAACGGATAAAAAGGAAATTTGAAGCCTAATTAATTGGAAAGCAAAACGGAATGCCCATGAAAAACTCACAGTGAAGTCACATTTTGAATGCTATGAAAGCAGAGAAAGGAGTGGAGAGAACCTGAACGCTAGGAGAATCGAAGTTCATGATCCGGATCTTAGCTCCGACATCACCAAAGATCCGTAACTCGACCCGGTCATTGACGGAAGCGTCTCGGATTAAATCGGCAGCGTCGGCCTGAAGCAAATTGACCCGATCGACGACGATCGTCGCCTGTACTTGCCTCTCACTGTGCGCTTCCTGGTAGAATCCAGGCACGGAAGCTTTGCCCAACGGGATTCCCCTGTACATCACGGTGAACCTGGACTCACCGTACTTGATCCCCACCTTGTTAGGGTTCACGGCGTTGAACAGCAGCAAAATAGTGAGGGAGAGAGACACAGTAGTGGCGCCAGTGGCAGTGGGTATTGAGCCGTCGTTGGGTGCGGCGAAGGAGGGAGGGTTGGTTGTGATGCCCATGGATTGGACGGTAACCTGCTGGAGCTCGAACTGGGGCTTCTTGGGCTTGATGGCGAGGATAATGACGAGGACGACGGCGAGGACGAGGAGAGCGAGGAAGGAGAAGAGGAGGAAGAGGCAGCAACAGCAGCCTCTGAAGGAAGCGGAAGAGGAGGAGGAGGAGGAGCGATACGACGGCGTGGGATAGTAGTAGCGGTGATTATTGGAAGAGTTTGTAGTCATTTTTGAGCTGTTTCTCTCTTCCTCTACGTCTCGCTCTTCTGCTCTCTCTCTCTCTAATCAATGTCGGGGTTAGCTTCCTGAGAATCTACTATTCCAGCGTATTTGCAGTTCCAAAGGTGGGAGAGAGAGAGAGTGCGTGCGTGGGTGTGAGAGGGTGAGAGGGACTGAGAGAGGAAGTGGGGGGTGAGTGAGAATAGATAGTGGAACGGAGGAATGAAGGTGGTCACTGGTCGTGGTTGACGCTTGACGAGCATTCGTGCTTGACCGGGTAAAAATTAATCACACTAAAAATGTATTAAAATTAATTACCCTTAAAATTACTAAATTTTTTAATAAAAATTTTCTAAAAATGTGTTATTATTTGTAAATAACGTGTGAGAATCAACCAACATCTTGTTGGTTAAGATGGTATAAATCCAAAGTAATTTAAAAATAGGGAAAATCCCAAAAAAAGACATTGGAATATGGGAAATCCCAGATTGGGTCCTTAAATTTCGAAAATGACAGAATAGGTCATTGACCCAATCTGTCATTTGTGAAATTAAGGCGAATTGACAATTTTGCCCTCATTTGCATTCATTCACTATAATGATTTAAGGAATCACTATAAGGGTTTAGATGTTACTTAGATTCGCGTAGCGAATAACTACTCACTTTTTCATAGTCAGGTGTCTTGTTATTAACTACAACTAATGTTGTAATCACTAAAATAATGTAAGTATTACCTAGATTTGTGTAGAGAATAACTACTCATTTTGCATAGTCAGATATCTTATTATTGTCAGGTACCTTATTATTAACTACAACTAATCTTGTAATTATTAGAATAGTGTAAGCGTTACCTAGATTTGTTTAGAGAATAACTACTCACTTTGTTTAGCCAGGGGCAAAATTGTCAATTCGCCTTAATTTCACAAATGACAGATTGGGTCAATGACCTATTTTGTCATTTTCGAAATTTAAGGACCCAATCTGGGATTTTGTATATTCCAAGGGCTTTTTCTGGGATTTTCCCTTAAAAATATTCTGAGTTTTGTAAAAAATTGTGAAAAAACCTTATTTGAAATTTAGTACTATCAATCTTTTTAATGAAATTTTTCCATGAATTAAGATTAAAAGCGATAAAATTCTATATTCATTTTAAAAGCAGATGTGCAATATACTGAATTCTTTTTTTTAAAAAAATCCAGATGATAAGGGAAGCTTGATAATTTATTAACAAATATTATCAATTTAAGAAAAATAAACATCATTCATTATGCATAATAAATGACAGATCACAGATATAGATTTTTTTGTTTTTTATACTGGTATTGATATATTAATGATTATGCTCTCTCTCTTGTTTTTTTCGTCCCTTTAAACAACACTACAAAATTTACTCATTTGAGTGACGAGGGGATTAACGTAAATTTATTATTTTATAAAACGCAACAATTTCGACGTATAAACATCTTAGGCTTTATAATATCAACCTTCATACCATTAGGCCTTAAAAAATGTGCTTAACGAGCCATTAAAGATTTTTTTTTTTTTTGAAATGCAAGGGGCTAGACCTGCCTTGGATGAAGTTAAATATGCCGACACCCAACAGTCCAACATTGACAGTTTGTTGGTGTGTTTAGGGTGGGGCGTCCTGCCCCAAAAGCGCACGGCCGGATGCACTTTGCAGTTTGCACTAACCAGCTCAAAATGGCTGTCTCATGCACCAGGTTGGCTGGCAATGCCATCACAGAAGTTGTGAAAACGAAAAGGGTCCCGCACAGTACACACAAAAACAGATAGTTCTTGAATCTAGTTTGCTTTAAAATCACCACAAAATGACAGGATAACACTAGGCTTCATTTAGTGACAAAGAAACCAGAGGGACCCAAACTTTCCCTTGACACAGAAAAATTTAACGACAAGTTCTTGATAAAGGTCAGATGGAATGGCAATATACTAGGAATATAAATGCTGAACAAGGGCACAAACCCACAGGCATTTTGTGCATTACTCTAATTCTCCAAATTACAGCAACTCAATAGATGCTAAGCTCTAAAGCAGAAACCACTGAGGTAACAATGGATGAAGGGGTAAAAAAGAAATATGTATCACTAGGCCTACCAGAAACAACCAATAAAACAACTACATCAGAGCAATATTTTTATGTAATTATTGAAAATTCTGGAACCTCGACCCATCACTTCTGCATATTATCAGCGTCTGCCACAGCATCTGCACTGAAATTACCAGCTTCTGCCTTGCTTGTTTCATCAATCCTTCTACCAGAATCATCACCAACTAGTACATCGTCCATGATATCATCCTCTCCAACATTTATATCCTCCACATCATCATCATCCACGTCATTGTTGCCACCCCCAGGAATCTTTGTTTTCTTTGGTCCATGCTCCAACCTATGAGTATCCAATTCTTTGTCCATGGTTTCCTGTAAATCCTGGTCATTATTTACTTTCCTTGTTTTTCTTGCATTCTGCCATCTCTCCAACTCCTTCTCAACATTAGCAATATACTGCTCCCCAATCTGTTTCTGATACTCAGATAGCTCCTCTCTTCTTGCATTCTTCCATTCAAGAAATGTCTGTAAGTTCACAGGTAAGGGATCAATACAGTAGCCTGATTTTTTTTTCTTTTTTTTTTTTGGGGGGGGGGGTGGTTGGTTGATTTCACAGGTCAAGGAAAACTTCTCAAGCTGCACAGCTGAGTCATCACTTACATGTACCTCTAGTACAGTGCTACGTAAGCTGAATTATAGATCACATACCCGTTCGGGCATAGGTCCACAAAGATCATGATATACTAACAAGATAAGACCACATGTAAACTGATATTTTAAAGCCAATGATTCTTAATCCAATTAGATTGTCAGTATGCCCTCCCAAATATCCACCTTGATGCAAGAAAAGATATCCTACAAGATTTTGAAATAAGAATGGACCAATTTTGGGTGGCTTTCAACAGTTAACCACATAATGTGTATGCTTAAAGACCAAAACAATGTGTGAGCATAAATTTAAATTCTAAACTCCCAATGGCCCCACCTCTTCTTTGCGCTTTTCTAAGGCTGCTTCATTTTCATCCAAGGGCTTGTTGGGCAAATAGTATATCGGAGGTTCTGTTTTAGTCCTGAAAAATAAATAGAAAACATGCCTTAAACACAAGTCACAAATGGAAGAAATAAAATTTTCATGTCTGCCTAAATCCAGCTGTCAAGTTGTTTCAACACAACAATGCGCATGAAAAGAAACTTAAGAAACTTATCTTCGTCTCAATAAAATGTGAATATGGACACTTTTGGACGAAAATTAAAAATAACCTGCAGACCAATAGATAACGGCATAACGTCAGGTAAAGATGTGCAGCTGTTAGACGTGACTAGCACAATATTACATTTGAAAGCACAAACCTTATAAAATTGCATAGCCTTTTATGATGCTCACTCCACCGAAGAAACAGCAACTCCAATTTCTTTTCTTCCGTCTTAGCAGCCACACGTGCTCTAAGAGTCTGACAAGAAATAGGTCAAACAGAAACACAATATTTAGAACTATTAGCAGTCTGGTCATAAATTCAATGTGGCGAGAAGGCATATTTATTTAATAGCCAACCAAGTCTCTCCTCCGTTTTTCAGCAATCTGTTCACGCTCTTCTTTCCTCAGCCTTTCACTTTCTTCACGTGCTCTTTGCTCAGCCTAGGAAAGAGTTCCAAAACATTAGAGATAGTTACGAATTTCTAGATGTTGTCACAAGTGTAAGTGTGTGTGTGTGTGTGTGAGAGAGAGAGAGAGAGAGAGAGAGATGACTGAGGTTCAGCTGTTCAGTGCTGGATACTAAGATGCATCTACAACTTGACAATGACGTTGCGTACTTATTCCATGTAAATTTACATCAACTATGAAAATCATGACAAATATGATAAGTGTAATTGTTCAGCATGCAACAGGATGACTGTAGAAAATATGAAATTATAGAGCATGCCCCATCAATGACGAATAATTAAATGCACCCCTTCCTTTTTGTTTATACTCAACGCATACTCTTTAGAACATGTCAAATGGGAATTCCTATGAGCATCCGAGCACACCCCATTAACAAATTAATCAAGTTGTTTACGTGAAATCTCTACAATTAGTCTCATGTGATTGCAATCTACCATAAGGACGCCGCACAAATTCATAACAATTGTTCTATCGTCCATAATTCTACATAACCTTAGCTTATGATGGTGAATTGACTGAATTGATCTCTAAACGCATCTATAGGTTTAAGATAAAGAAGGATTTAAGTGCTTCATCTTCTAAACCAGTTAAATGAGAGAAGCTCCAAATACTAATAAACTTGCACTAGACTTACTCTTTGCAGAGAGTTAGACCTTCGCATGTATGCTTCTGTTCCTGAAAGTTGCATGTCTTCTTTTCTGAATTTCTGGGGCAGTTCAAGATAAAAGCAAAAACACAACAATATGAAAATAGAGTCAGTGTGTTAATGATAAAAGGATCAGATAAACCTAGTAACAAACTGAGAAAACAGCAATATGAAAATGATGTATAGTGCAGACCATTTTGTTAGATGCAGTTGGTAACATTGCAATTGAGTCCATATTAGAACAATAGAAAGAGGACAAAATACAATTGATAAACCATGAACCATGACCACCAATTTCCAACAAACACCTCTTGGATGTTTGTCAATTAAGTGCATATGAGCTAGGTATGCATTGAATTTAGAGAAACAACATGAAGATAAACGCAAATCAACTGCTAAATTGAGCTCATGATACAGTATCCGGAAAGCAAGTATGCAATTAGTCTTTCATACCTCCAAAGTACCCAAGAGCTGACCAAGCATTCTTTTATTTCTATTAACCAGTCGTGGATCGTCATTCTTCGGCAATACCCTTGGAACAGGTTCTGCAACAGGAATCTCAGAATCCTTAAGGAAAAGAAAGGTCTATAGCATTAGATACATAATCCCCATATAAATCCTTTATTTGAAAGGAAATACATGTGCATTCACCACCTTAGAAGTTCTTTGATTGTTATCTCTCCCAGACCACCCACTTTTCTGAAAATTGGAAGGCTTCCCATCGCTCTGAGCAGCTGCATCAGTCCCATCAACGTCATACCTAGCTGGATAATCCTTCTTAACTTCCTGTCCTGCATCCGCGTCCTC